AAAAAAAAAAAAAAAAAAAAAAGTATTACAGGATACATGCCTGATAAGTTCTTATGCTGCCACTTTCTGTTGTTTAAGACAAATGTGATTTCTGGAAAGAAAGCATTTTCATTTGCCCTTTTGAATAAAATGTGTAACAGGCAATTTTACTTATTACTTTCTTATTCTAAAGGAAGACCATGTGCTAGTGAGGAGGGGAGGGTAGTGGAAGCATGCCCATGCTGGAGCTCTAAACGTAAGTCTCACAGGGGTTTATAGCTCAGTCAGCTCTGTTAGTGTGATGGTACCACTAATTACAACAATTTTCATTTATATTAGACTTACTTTGATCATTATGCAAGTGAAAGCCTATTTCATTTTTACGTAGGGCAGTTTATGCATTAGGTAAAGTCAAACCTTTTAAACTTTAAAATAATTTTTAAAATTTCTAAAAGTTATTTTATTTTTTTATGGTTTTTAAGAAAATATTTATTTTATTTATTTATTTTTGGCTGCATTGGGTCTTCGTTGCTGCGCGCGGGCTTTCTCTAGTTGCGGTGAGCGGGGGCTACTCTTCGCTATGGTGCGCGGGCTTCTCATTGCGGTGGCTTCTCTTGTTGCGGAGCACGGGCTCTAGGCCCCCGGGCTTCAGTAGTTGCAGTGCACGGGCTCAGTAGCTGTGGCTCACGGGCTCTAGAGCTCAAGCTCAGTAGTTGTGGCGCACAGGCTCAGCTGCTCCGCGGCATGTGGGATCTTCCCGGACCAGGGCTCGAACCCGTGTCCCCTGCAGTGGCGGGCGGATTCTGAACCACTGCGCCACCAGGGAAGCCCTAAAAGTTTTTAAAACAGAACTATTGGCCTTCCCTGGTGGCACAGTGGTTCAGAATCCACCTGCCAATGAAGGGGACACGGGTTTCAGCCCTGGTCCGGGAAGATCCCACATGCCGCGGAGGAGCTGAGCCCGTGCGCCACAACTACTGAAGCCCACGCGCCTAGAGCCCGTGCTCCGCAACAAGAGAAGCCACAGCAATGAGAAGGCCATGCACCGCAACAAAGAGTAGCCCCCGCTCGCCACAACTAAAGAAATCCCGTGTGCAGCAATAAAGACCCAATGCAGCCAAAAATAAATAAATAAATAAATTTATTTAAAATACAAACCAAAACAGTACTATTGCTTTCAGATCTACCAATATGTTAAAATATAGTTTGAAATTATATATATGCAACAGGACATCAACAACAAAAATAACCCTACTGTACTCTGTTTTATTTGTATAACGAAGCCAAAAAAAAAAAAAAATTTGAACATCACAGTTATAAGTACTAATTTTAAGGAATTTTTATAATTCAGCCAGTTTAACACTGCTCTATTTTATTTCTACAACAAAGCCAGTTAACAACAACAAAAATTTGAATATCACAGTTTTAAGTCCTGATTTTAAAGGCGTTTTATGACTTAGCCAATTTGTAAAGGTTAGGTACTTCCAAAACCAAATATAACTTTCTGTAAAAAATCAAAACATAAAACTATTCCTTGTATTTTTTGTCCTTCAGAATTTTTATAGCATCATAAGAAAAATGGGCAAAAGACTTGAACACTTCCCAAAAGATGATATCCAAGTAAATAGTCACTTATGATTTCCATATGTAACACAGACACAAAAGGAAAACGCTAATCCTAATTTTAAAGGGCAGATAATTACAGCTTTCAGTCGTATGTGGTTGCAAACAATGCTTCAGTCAACATCCTTTTATATGTACAAGTCTTCCCTCTAACACAGACAGCAAGGAGTATTATAGAATTTCTAGGCCACAGGAAGTCAATGTCTCCTTTTAGAATGGATACTGCCCTGTTGCCTTCTAAGACAGTTCCTTCCAACTTAAACTCCTACCAGCAAGCAGTACATAAGAGTGCCCGTTTCCCCACGCCCTGATCAATGATGGGTATTATCAGACTCTTAAGTTTTTTCCTATTTGGTGAATTTTTAAAATGTTACTTGTGGTTTTAGTTAGTATTTATCTGACTACTAGCAAAGTTGAGCATTTTGGCATATGTTTATTGGCTATCTGCTTTCTGCTTTCTGTCAATTTCCTGTTCATACTTGTTGCCCACTTTTATATTAGGCCGTTTCTATATTGATTTATAGTTCTTTATAAGTCTTCTTATCTTTTCTTGTATATGTTACATATATTTTCTCCATATGTGAACTCTTTTTCCCCCCATGATTCTGCTTTATTTTGTATTGATTAATTGGTTAAAGTATAGTTGGTTTATAATATTATATTAGTTTCAGGTGTACAACATAATGATTCAATATAGATTATATTACTTTTAAAGTTGTTAGAAAATATTGACTGTATTCCCTGTGCTGTACAATATACTCTTGTATCTTACCTATTTTATTATGTATAGTAGTTTGTACCTCTTAATCCCCTGCCCCTATCTAGTTCCTCTCCCCCCATTCCTCTCCCCACTGGTAACCATTAGTTTGTTCTCTGTATCTGTGAGCCTGTTTTGTTATTTTCCTTTTTTTTTTTTTAAGATTTTATTTATTTATTTTTTGGCTGGGTTGCATCTTCATTCCTGTGCGCAGGCTTTTCTCTAGGTGCGGTGAGCGGAGGCTACCCTTCGTTGCGGTGCGCGGGCTTCCCATTGTGGTGGCTTCTGTTGTTGCAGAGCATGGGCTCTAGCCACGCAGGCTTCAGTAGTTGTGGCACACGGGCTCAGTAGTTGTGGCTCACGGGATCTAGACATGCAGGCTTCAGTAGTTGTAGCACACAGGCTTAGTTGTTCTGCGGCATGTGGGATCTTCCTGGACCAGGGCTCAAACCCGTGTCCCCTGCCTTGGCTGGTGGATTCTTTTTTTTTTTTTTTGTGGTACGCAGACCTCTCACTGTCGTGGCCTCTCCCGCTGCGGAGCACAGGCTCCGGATGTGCAGGCTCAGCAGCCATGGCTCACAGGCCCAGCCACTCCGCGGCATGTGGGATCCTCCTGGACCGGGGCACGAACCCATGTCGCCTGCATCGGCAGGCGGGCTCTCAACCACTGCGCCACCAGGGAAGTCCCTGTTTTGTTATTTTCATTAATTGGTTTTATTTTTTTAGATTCTACATATAGGTGATAACATCATATGTGAACTCTTTATATAACAAAACATAATCCTTTGTCATCCTTGTTGCATTTATTTTTCTACATCTGTTTTTCACTTGTTCCTTTTTTTTTTTCTTTTCTATTCTAATTCTTTCTTTCTTAACATGTTTGGCAGTTGACCAGTGGAGCCACCTGGGCTCCACTGGTTGGAAGGTTTCTAGTGTTGGAAGGTTTCTAATTATAGTTTCAATTTCTTAAATAGATTATAGAACTGTCATTTTTTCTATTTAATATTTTTGTGCCAGTGTTGGTAAGTTCTTTTTTTCTAGGAATCTGTTGATTTATCTAAATTTTCAAATTTATTGGCAAAAATATAGTGATATCCTTTTATTATTTTTTAAACAACTGTAGGATTTGTAGTGATGTATCATTTTTCATTTCTGATGTTAACATTGTTGCTTTTTTTCCCTGTTTTTATTAGTTACTTGTTTCCAGGGATATCAGTTTATTAACCTTTTTCAAAGAACCAACTTTTGGTTTTATTAATTCTCCCCAGTGTGTATTGACTTCACTTCCTTCTTGAAGAGTACATTCAGGGCTTCCCTGGTGGCGCAGTGGTTGAGAGTCTGCCTGCTGATGCAGGGGACGTGGGTTCGTGCCCCGGTCCGGGAAGATCCCACATGCCACAGAGTGGCTGGGCCCGTGAGCCATGGCCGCTGAGCCTGCGCGTCCGGAGCCTGTGCTCCGCAATAGGAGATGCCACAACAGTGAGAGGCCCGCGTACCGCAAAAAAAAGAAAAAAAAAGAGTACATTCACTGGACGTAGAATTCTGGCTTGGTGACAGTTTTCTTTCAGCCCTTACTGATAGCATCCCCTGTTTTCTGGCTTCCATCTTTCTCTTTCAGTCAGCAGTCTTGCTTCTTTGAAGGTAATTGTCTTTTTCTGTGGGTGATTTTAATATTTTCTCTTTGTCCTTGATTTTCTACAGTTTGAATAAGATGTGTAATTATAACTTTCTGTTTTTATTAGGATTATGAGTTTTCATTTTATGTCTGTTTTACAAATGGAAATTGTGATTATCTAATGGAATCTGCCTCTTTATTGGTAATTTCTTTATTCTATGTTGGGAAGACCTTGCCACTCTCAGCTGCCAGGTGTTGAAAATTCTGTTCTAGATTTTCTATGGAATTTCAGTATAAAGTGAGAAGTGGAGATCTAAATTGTTTTTGGTGCTATATCCTCAAATTGACGATCAATTATTGTAGCAAATCAATTATTCTAGCAAGTTTTATTAAGTCATAATTTAACTATTTTCAGTGCCTTTTTTGTATGTTAAAAATCTTACACACAACAGTAGAATCTTTGGGGATTAGCTCTTCGGTGTCAGTGACTGCGTCTATTTAAAAGGAATATGCTTTAATCAGATTTTATTTAATCTGTGTTCCTCACCAATTTTCCAGGAGAGCACCCGTGTTTTTCATGTAAAGTGTCTGGTACAGACGTGAAGCGTTGCTCTGTTGGTGCTTGTGGGAAATTTTACCATGAAGCCTGTGTCCGCAAATTCCCCACTGCCATCTTTGAATCAAAAGGATTCCGCTGTCCCCAGCACTGCTGCTCTGCCTGCTGTATGGAGAAAGATATCCACAAAGCAAGTAAAGGTAAAACAGAGCTAAGGAAGGGGACAGTTGTTTTTTTTGTAAGTTCAGTAGCAAACAGTAAGCACATTATTATAAAGAACATCAGGCATTCTCCCTCTGTTTATCTATAGCTATTAACAGCTCAGCCACAATAGATAGTAAGGTAAGTGGATTCTAGGTTCTAATTCAGACCGTGGGAAGAAAATTCCATATGTTCAAAATTATCCTTGAAAATTCCTTAAACAGGTGCCGTATTGGAGACCAGCATCTCTCCAGCACTGGCACAGACACATTTTTCTTTGAGCGACCTCTAGATGAGCACTGCATTTAGGGGCCATACAGCATAGGAACAGCAGAGTCAAACTAGGGAAGAAAAAGATTTTTGTATTACTGTAACCAGCATCACATTGGATCCCCAAAGATCTCATTTTATATCAGCTGATTCTTTCTTACATAGATTCCTTTTTGACTGTCTTTCGACAGGTCGCATGATGAGGTGTTTGAGGTGCCCAGTAGCCTACCACTCTGGAGATGCTTGCATTGCTGCCGGCAGCATATTTGTGTCTTCCTACGTTCTCATCTGTAGTAATCATTCCAAACGGAGCAGTAACTCTTCCTCTGCTGTAAATGTAGGCTTTTGTTTCGTTTGTGCGAGAGGTGAGTGTCAGCCCTTTCTCTTTATGTCTTTCTGGGTTCATTGGCATATTTCCCCCATTAAAATCGAGTTTCAGTAATACCCCTGAGAGAGATTAACAATTCCAGTAACTCGTCCCTTTTATAACATTAGACACTCAAACTGTTAGAATATTAATTCTTCCATAAAGTAAGCTAAAATCTACATCTGTTTAGTAACTTAGAATTATAGATGAGTTCTTAGCGTTCCTATTTGGAGCATCAAAAGATTAATCTACAGTTGACCCTTGAACCACATGGGTTTGAACTGCGCAGATCCACTCTGTGTGCATTTTTCTCAGTGGCGTTCTCCAGTACTACGTGATCGAAGGTTGGTGGAATCCGCAGGTCGGTGGTGGGGGGCGACTTAAAGTTACAGGGGATTCCAACTGCGTGGAGGTCCATGCACCTGACCGTGGCATTGTTCAAGGGTCAGCTCTCTTCCCTTGTGCAAACAGTTCTTCTATTCGAAGTAGACTCTTCCCATGTCATATTCTTTAATCCAGAGTTTTCAACTAATTGAGATTTCACTTGGAAGGCAAGAAGAGCACATTTATTTTTTAATTGTTTATGTTGTATTTTATCATGAGGAAGACCTGGTGGAATACAGCCAAGGCAACATATGTGGTGTATTAGTTAAGAGCCTGCGGTAGAGGCTTTTTTACTTGCCAGCTGTTGATATTTAAGTCTGCCACTTAAGATTGATCACTTCAAAACAATATTGTGTCCCTGAGGGCGTCAGTGAACTTGAGTTTGTAATAAATATAAAGTAGAACTTCCTCAGTTGAACATGACACAGAGTGCCCAACTTTATAGAGCGTCTCAGCTGTATTATAATAAAAGAATTTTTAGTGTTTAGTAAGCATTTTAGAAACCAACTCATATCCCCAAGTGCAGTTTTTTTGTTTACTCATAAGTGCTAAGTTTTCTAAACTTCCCTTAGTGTGAAATATTTGAAAGGACTGTGTGGCATATCAGGCCTGTTAGATTATATTTAGCCCATACTGAAAATGAAGTTTTGGATCATGTTTTGTTTTTTGTTTGTTTTTTTATTAATTTATTTATCTTTTTTTATTATTATTGTTGGCCACTTCGGGTCGTCTTTGCCACACGCACGGGCCTTCTCTAGTTGCACCGAGAGAGGGCTACTGTTAGTTGCGGCGCGCGGGCATCTCATTGTGGTGGCTTCTCTTGTTGCGGAGCATGGGCTCCAGGCATGTGGGCTTCAGTAGTTGTGGCACGGGGGCTCAGTAGTTGTGGCTCCTGGGCTCTAGAGCTCAGGCTCAGTAGTTGTGGCGCATGGGCTGAGTTGCTCCGCGGCATGTGGGATCTTCTTGGACCTGGACTCGAACCCATGTCCCCTGCACTGGCAGGCAGATTCTTAACCACTGCTCCACCAGGGAAGTCCCTGTTTTTGTTTTTTTGCTTTAGGAGACAGTTCTTTTAATTTGGTGAAAGTACTATAGAGTATTTTCAATAGAATTTAGCTAGTATGATAGATCTTGAGTTGTTTTGCTTTTGAAACTCTCATTAAAAAAAAGAAAAATAACCAGAGGAGGCGGACAGTACAAGATTAAGTAAGTGGTAGTCCTTTCCATGGCAGCCTCCTGGGTCCATTGTACACACTGCTTTGAGTTTTCCAGTTTGGAAGTGCACGGGGCGGTCTGCAGGTAGAAGGAAGTGTTGTGTAAGAGTAGTGACAACAGCTGTGTCCTGCTCTGAAGTCTGGATGGCACAGGGGAAGAAGTTCTGAAGTGTTTCGTGCCACACACTGTATTAGCCAAAGAAATAAAAAGTCACGTGCCTTTCCCATCTGCCCACTCCTAAGAAAGTAATGCTAGGATGAAAATACTGAATTATCAGCTGAATGACTAGCTTTAGAGACTTTCAAATAGATGAGTGTCAGTGATAACACAAAGTCTATCACTTTGTAAATATTTTATTCTACCCTTCTAGGCACTCACTTTTACTCACTTTTACTAGGAGGGGTGGAGAGGTGTGGGTGTGTAGGTGTGTTGGTGTGTGTGGGTGTGTGTGTAAGTAAATGAGCCAACATTTTAAATACCAAGTTTAAAACTATCACGTTGGCTTACTTTGGAGTATATTCTGAATCAAGTACCATCAGTTAAGTATATCAACCAATATTTTCTTTTGCTCTGTTTCATTCAATAATTGGGTGACCTTTAAAGCAGGTGTTTTCCTTTAAGATAGATAGAAAATGACCCATTGTCAAGGAACCTAGTTTTAGAGAAACTTCTAACCATTTTGTTAAGTTTAAGTTATATGCCTTGATTAAAAGCTTGAGATAATGGAAATGAGGGGAAAACTCATGTTTTAACAACAGGATGCTGTTTGCATCTTACCAATTTGGCAATTATTCTGAAAGATGTGCTGTATTTAAATGCCTCTTTAAAGAGCAAGATTATTTAATCCCCACATATTTTAACTGCAACGTTGCACAGTAAACAGAAACTCTCATTTTCCTTTCCAGCGTTTTACAGAAACTTATTCTAAATACATCAGATGTTGGGATTTGAGAAGGGCTTAAAAGTTCTCCAGAAGTAAATGATATGTGTTCTTTTACCAGAATTTATAGAGGTCTTCTTTTTTAACAGGCTCTAACTGTAATAAATCCACACATGAAAAGGGATACTTCAGTTATTTATGTTTTGGTGTTAGAAACCTCAGCTTGTTTTGCCTTTGTTTCTTGTCGCGTACAGTTTCTCCCTCCGCACAGAGGATTTTTGTCTTAGTTCTTGGTTATTGGTTGTTTAAAATCATTAAGCTAATTCTCCTTTTTTTTTTTTAAATAAGTTTATTTATTTATTTTTGGCTACGTTGGGTCTTCGTTGCTGCACGCGGGCTTTCTCTAGTTGTGGCGAGCAGGGGCTACTCTTCGTTGCGTTGCGCGGGCTTCTCATTGCAGTGGCTTCTCTCGCTGCGGGGCACGGGCTCTAGGCGCGCAGGCTTCAGTAGTTGTGGTGCACGGGCTCATCTGCTCCACGGCACGTGGGATCCCCCCCGGACCGGGGCATGAACCCGCATCCCCTGCATTGGCAGACGGATTCCCAACCACTGCCACCAGGGAAGCCCTAAGCTAATCTTTAAGACTGAAATATCTGGAAGTATTTTTAGAAATGCTTCAGCATTTAGAGAAACATTCCTCCTCCCCTGCCCCCCATGGTGCCATAGGGTGTGTTCAGTTATATTTCAGTGTAGTAGAGATTCTTCAGCATTTCCTTTCATCTGGAGGGTGGTGTAAAATAAAAGTTACTTAATATTCTAAGTTGTTCTTTCTTATTTAAAAGCCATTGCACCACTTTTCTCTGTTAAACGTATGAAATGTTCATTCAACATTATATAACCTTTATTCGAAAATTCTTATGTATTGCCGATTAGCAATTTCAAGTTCCATTCACGAGAAATATCAATATTTCTTGAATCTGCCTCAGTGTAAGATAGCATCAAATGAAGATAAAATCCACAGAAAATAGTAAATGGTCACCCCTTTAAAAACAAAACTCTTCCCTCTTCTCAAAATGATCTCTATGAGACTGCGGTCATGATTTGACCAGTAACCAAATAGAGAAAGTTTCCCTGGTCTCAGAGGTCCTGGGTTTAGGAGTGGCCGTAGTTACAGGATGGACTTAACTCAGGGGAAAGGTGGGTGTCACGGGTAGTTTAGAGCAGATGCTGTTTTCCTCCAACAGGACAGCTGTACCGGTAGATTGAAAGGACTGTTTTTATAAACCCTTAAGTTGGTAAGCGTTTAAGTCAGTTATTATCATGGCAGGACAAAACTTTAAATGTTTGCATTACCTCAGTGAACTTCAACAACTTATATCTTCTCTAAAGTCATGTATCATACTGATAGAGAAAAGCTTCATTATCTGGCTGAGAAAGCTGGAATTTGAGGGTATCTAAAGATCTGAGCAGAGAGGAGAAGCAGCCCAATTCTGCCTTTTCAGCGCTGCTTGATGTATTGAAGGTGACCAGGGTCTCTAGTGTGTCATGTAGACAGTTCTTATTTCCAGCAATTAAGTGATACATCATTTTGTTCTTTGGGTTGTCGTCATAGTACTTCTAAACCTTAAGGAATGTAGCTTTGTTTTCCAGAGGGGGTTTTCAGAATGATGTCAAAGCAGTTTACATCCTCAAATTAATTTGGAGTTTCCTTCTGGGTATATAGGTTTCTATGTAGGGATAAGGCATTGAGTAGCTTAAACTCCTTTTAATAATGATGGAAAGCCTTGTCTGTCAGATCTTTCTTTTTCTTCATATTCTTTTCCCCCCCAGCTTTAAGCACAGCTACATAGTAGGTGTTGGTTTATTTTTTCCTCATGGAATCATGGGTAGTTTCATTGCAGCTCACATCTTTCTGTTTGTCTCGTATAGGGCTGATAGTGCAGGACCATTCAGACCCCATGTTCAGTTCCTATGCCTATAAGTCCCACTACCTACTGAATGAATCAAATCGTGCAGAGTTGATGAAATTACCTATGATTCCTTCTTCGTCAGCTTCCAAAAAGAAATGTGAGAAAGGTAATAATCGAAATAGTTTATCTCTTACTTTTATTTTTGCATTTCCTATTTTTTCTCTTTAAATGAAGGGGGGAAATGTATGCCTGTCAAGCACCATCTGTTGCTTTTGGTAAATTCTACCTTGGTGGCTGTGGCTGTCTTCATATGGCTGCAAAATTATTAAAAAGGGCTTAAAATAATTCCATTATTACAAATTTTTACTTACTCTTCTCCTTGAATAAATTTTCACACCTTCCATATATCTACAGTCATGAAAATTGAAAGACTAGGATTCTGCTTAATATCGAAGCATGTTCTGAGGGCTCTTTCTCTTTTGCCTGATGTAGAACCGTATCATTCATGTTAGAATAGAATAGACATGATATAATTTGTTACTAACTTTCAGCTAAATAACAAGACAGGTTATAGAGGGAAACAAAGATACTGACACTTAAAATTTTGATTCTGAAATACAGTCTATCATTTTGTTTCTTAAATGTTTCTGTTATGGTGCTATGAAAACTGGTTGCCCTTCTCTTAGGAGACATTGGTGGGCAGCTGGGAAAATGCTGCAAATACTGGATATTGAAAGGCAGCCCAGCTGAATTGAAGAATTGCTAATAGATAATTTATCCACTGAGAACCAAGCGCTAAATGTATATTTATATTCTCCAAGTTAATTTAATCTATGGAAGAAAAATCTTGTACTTTGCTTTACATAGCCTCCATGTAATAAAGGGGAAAAAAGTGGTTTAACAATAATGTATTATTTGGGGAGTTATCCCAGAGGGTAAAATAAATAACTTGGAAGGTGAAAGCCTTTTCCTGTATACATTGCCATTATGATCTGAGGCCAGGCTCAGAATCTTTAAAGAAAATTTAATTCTTTTTTTTTTTTTTCATGCTTTGTGTTGCCTGCTGATGATGTATGTTTGCTGTTTGTCAGACATCTGAAGTGGCAACCCATGACTAAAAGAAAGTATAACTAAGCAAGTTGATTAGAACCCATGAAGAGGGAGGTTGGAGAGACTGTTGACTCTTTTGTCTGTTTTCCATTGAAGTCACAGTATGGCATCTTACTGGTGATACCAACTGTTTCCAAAACAAAGATGGACATGGGTCTGACTAATTCCATAGTGCAATAAAATTAGACTACCTGAGGCATTTTAGGAAATGCCTTATTTTCCTGCTGGTGCCTTTATAAAATTAGACTAATTCAATTGTCGCTTACTTTCTTTTCAGTACTTGGTATTGACCTTGACATGAATTGAAATTATTTTGAGCCCTCTGTTTGCTTAGCTTGAACCATATCTTCTCTCGCATCCTAAAGCAGTTTTCTTGCATAGCACCAAGGTGGATTGTTCATATTTTTATTTTTCTATTTCCCTTGTGTATTTTTGTCAAAAAATCGTGATGATTTTCACTGATGATTCAGGGTCTGTATTTCCTCTGAAATAAGACTTAAAATTTAGGACTGTTCCATAATGTTAAAAAATGGCCAGACTGACTTTTCCACACCAGCCCTAATAATCACTTGTCCTCTAAAGGATTTGCAAAGACCACTCTCCCTATCGGTCATTTCTTTCTGATGGAAAAATGAATTATCTCATTTTACTTTAAACTTACAGAAGAATTCCCTACCTAGGCTAAGAGCACTCAGGCAGCTAATCTCTAGGTTGGAGAATTGGAACAATTAATCCATATTGAGATCTGCAGACAAAGGGGGAAATCCCAATGATTGAAGTAAAAGCTTTTAAGCAGAGGAAATATAGTAATTTAATTCATCACTGATTGTATATGGATTTTCTTTTTGTTTTTATGTTAATCAGTTAGAAGTTTGAAAGTCTACAGGAAGACAAGATTTTCTGGAAAATTGATAGCAAACCCTCAAAAGGTTGGAGCATGTGATTTGATAAAGTTGTATAGAGGACTCTTAACCTTTTGCTTATGAGACTTTAAATCTCAGTACACTCATGGGTTGTAGACTTGGTTTTCCAATAGAAAGATTTTTTTTTTTTTCAGTAAATGTCTTTATTGCATTTCATCTTCAGTGGTTAACATTCTTTTCTGTCACTTGTTGAAATACAACAATAAAGAGAAAATACAACAATAAAGAGATTTCTCCCCGAAATCTCTTTAATTTTTTGGATTTAAAAGTAATATTGTTTTGTTTGCCATACCTGCTTTGGTCTTGATCCAGAGATCGTTTTGTGTATTTACAAGGAGAGGATTTTGCTAGGGTACTTGGAGGCATCTCCTTGTGTGTGGTACTTGATTCTACACTGATACTTACTTGTTTTATGCTATAAAGCAGTGGTTCTCAATATGACATCAGGAAATATTACAAACAAAATTCTGAACTATATTTAACAGTTCAGAAAGTCTAACAGAATCAGGCATTTGTGTAAAATACAGTGGTGTGAGTTTCTTTATATTTGGCTATGCTTTTAGCAATTTAATGTGATAATAACCAGTTTTGTTATTGAGATCAGAAGCTCTGATTGGCTGTTATATATTTCTTTGGTTAATTAAAACAGAAGAAAATAATTGTTACTTTTAAAATGTTTTTTGGTTTTGGTGGGTATTTTGTTTGGTAAAATATTTGAAAACATATGGATCCATGAGAAAGGGAAAGGGGATCCTTGGTGATGAAAAAGTTGCAAACCACTGCTGTATAGCCTGTTTGACTTTATTTGTCTTCACTGAAAAGGTAATGATAATGTAATCACCAATTCAAGATTCTTTTCCTTTTTTGTATTCTTACATGGGAAGAAAAAAGTACTGGTCAACCTATTGGCTGTTTGCATTCTTGCTAATGTTGTTATAAAGGGATGTAGTTAACTGTGCCACTGGATTAAAATACAAAGATGACCATTGCTTGCTTTCTTAGCTCTCAAGGAGAAAAAGAGAGTTGCTGCATATTTCTCTGAAAATCTGTTCTCAAATCTACTCAGTCTAAAGATTTTATGCATCCATTTGTCATATGTTAATAGTCTCAGCTGCCTGCTAAACTGGTACTTCAATAGCCCACATTTTAGAGGGATAAAGAGTAATGTTTTTCCTGCTGCTCAAAGGCTTTGAGTTTCTGGCCACAGAAGCCCTCGCTGGAAAGGGCTGCTTCAGCTAAATCTGTTCATTGCTTTGTATTTTAATCCATCACTAAAATATAACTCAATCCCTTTGTTAATTTCCCTCAATCTGAATCAAATTTAATGCAGGTAAAAGATAACTTTCTCTCTTGTCTCTCTCTCCTCTTTTCTCAGTTATTAAGACTGTTTGTTTGTTTCAAGGTGGAAGATTGCTGTGCTGTGAGTCGTGCCCGGCTTCCTTCCACCCGGAGTGCCTGAGCATAGAGATGCCAGAAGGCTGCTGGAATTGCAATGACTGTAAAGCTGGCAAGAAACTACATTACAAGCAGATTGTTTGGGTCAAATTGGGAAATTACAGGCAAGTTTTTCCAAGGACAAAGAGGAAGTATTCAGTCACTGTTCAGTAGTACATAGCCTGTACACAAAGTGGCTAGGAGATAGGTAGAAAAAGCAGCACAGTGCTGCAACTTCCTTAGAAAAAGAAAGAGAAGAAACATATTTTGAGTCTGGGTTTTTAGAAGACTGGGAAGGTTAGTGGTTGATGGATATTTTTTATTAGTTGGTTGACTTTTGTTTTTAAGTTCTGAAAGTTATTTTTTCCTAATGAACTATGGTACTAATAGATTTTAGAATAAAAGGTTTCATGTGGAGAGTGGTGAAGATTTTTTTTTTTGCACTCTAATTAGATTTATATTAATTTCTGATTTCTAATAAAGTTAAGTGTTTATATCCTGGCCAAAATAGCTCTTTTTACTCCTAAATCTAGCCCATTATAGTTCTAGCTAGAAGCTCTAAATTGTGTGCAAATAGCTTTTTAGAATTTAAAGAGAGAGATTATTTCATTAGGAGCCTTTAGATCTTAAGGGAATGAAGCAAGAAGTATGTGTGATTGCCATTATTTTAATAAATCTTCCTCCTTTTAAGAAGGCTGTTTTTAACAAGCCTTTAAGTGAACAGGAATAACGATGTTTTTTTAAACTCTACATTCTACATTTTGAGGCATATGTTTATAATTTTACTAAGAAAATAGATACTATTCAAGAGAACACACAGAGGACTTTGAAGGCAGTGAAAATGCTCTGTATAATATTATAATGATGAATAAATGCCACTATGCATTTGTCTAAACCCATAAAATGTACAACACCAAGAGTGAATTCTAAGGTAAACTAGGTGATTATGATGTGTCAGTGTAAGTCCATCCTTGGTTTAAAAAAAACAAACACACACACACACACACACACACAGTAGAGTTCTGCTTTTCAATTAGAATCCTAAGTATAATGTTTCTATAGAATTTCAAACATACTGTAATTTTTTTTAACAAGGGCTGTGTCATTTTCTCTGTTTTAAATACACTGCTTGCTTACCTATTTAACCTTAAAAACTTCATTTTTAGCTGAGATAAGGGGCATTGAGAAGCTCCCCCACCAACTATTTTTTTTTTAACATATGACGGGGAAACCTCCAAGTTCTTTTTAAAAAATGGACAGTTTGAATACATAAATAATTTTATACTTTATGGCAAAAGATACAAAATTTTAAAAGGCAAATATCAAACCAGGGGAACTCTTCTACTCTCAGTAAGAAAAGAAAAATACCTTCCCTAGAAAAAGGAGCTGGGCTTCCCTGGTGGCGCAGTGGTTGGGAGTCTGCCTGCCGATGCAGGGGACACAGGTTCGTGC